TTTGCGTATGTAGGGAACAAAAAAGAATCAAAGAATCATGTGCACCATGATTATCCCGCCAGCAATCCGAAAAAAAAAGAAGGAAAAAGTTCCCCCTTTTTTTATTATGTTTCTTTTAATTTTAATACTTTATTTTCTCGTTTTCATTTTTTTTAAATCACAAAAAACATCAAAAAATAAAAAATTATACAAAAGCAGGGTTTTTCAAAACCTACATTTCTATATATATATAGTTTTTATTCCGCTTATTATTCTACGAATTAAAAATGTCGGGGTTGTATGGCCGCACTCGACCCCTGCGGCTGCCCTCCGTGGCCATGATCCCGACCGCATGCGGTAATCGGGCCTGCGGTCATGACCGCGGATGATTCATAGCTTTAGACCATGCAGGCCGTTTGAAGGACTGAATCCATACCAGATACAGAGACTGCCCCCCTGAACTAGAGAATTTGCATTACACCATGAGAAAGAAGTTGCGAGATTGACCAACAATCTAAGAAATGCTCAACATAGGATGATAGAGCAAGCTAACAAGCAATGTCGGCCATCACAGTTCCAGGTAGGTGATTTTGTTTGGGTTAAGTGAAAGGAGTTCGCCCCAGAAGAGAGCATCTCGCAAAAGCTGTTGCCCGCGTATAGGGGACTGTGGCCTGTCCTAGAAGTGAAAGGTGGTGAGGACGGACCTTCCTACACAGTAGAAATTCCACCACACGTCCACACATATCCAGCCTTCCATGTGTCCAAGTTGTTACCTTGTGTCACCAGTCAGCAGTTTCCATCCCATCGCTCGAGTTGTGGAGGGAGAGCTCATCCACAGAAACAGTATAAAGTCAGGTTCACTTATCAGGAACCCGACGACGACCGAGCTTTTAGAGACCGCTCCTGACATAGTCCATGCCTATGATAGGGCAAGGAAGGGTAAAGGTCCTGCCTTGCATTGAAATATTCTCGGAGGACCTCGAATTTAGGCCGGCGGGAGTGAAACTGTTTTCACCTTTACCGGCGACAGACGCAGATCCCAGGGCTCGATCCCTAGACCTGTCCCTACCTGTGTACAGTACCCATTGACCCCGTGTGTGTTTGAACCCGCGACCTACCCCTAAAAGTCATATGTTCTGACTACTGTACATAGCTGGTTGTGTGGATTTGACCCGTAGACCTGTAGTTTAGCAGTCGTAGGGTCAACTGAAGTTGTGGCCACTGTAGTCCCGAAGGGTCAAGTCTACGACCTTCCGGGAGCTCCGGAACTGGCTTTTCGTAGGTCGTAGGGGCCAGTCCGTAGCTGAGTCAGCGAGGGGCAGTCCTAGCACAGTCAGCAAAGGGCAGTCCCAGTCCTACCTAGTCCAGTCAGTGGTACCCAGTCCCGGTCGCAGTTTGTCTAGTCAGCAAGTACCATGTGGGATTGTGTACATCCCGGGCCCAGGGTCCATGGGCAGGCCGACGATGATCCGAAGTAAAAATAATGGGGCAGCTTCCAGTCATGGATTCATTCGACCTGTGAGCCGTGCGGAAGCGCTGGTGGAGCGTCTTGTGTCCGGAGGTCTGCAGATGCCCGTGGAAGAAGAGGGCTAAGAGGAGGAAGAAGCGGCCATAACCGCGTGTCATTAGGAGAGGGGTGGCAGCCATAGCTGCCAACTAGATAAGTGGTAGGAATAGTGCGTGTGCGTGTGGGATATTCAGGGTGATCCTAGTCTGTGTGTGTGTGTGTGTGTGTGCGAACAAGTTGCTGGTGGATACAGTTGATCGGGTGGGAATCTTTGTCTGGCGCAGTACGCCATAGCCAATCAAGACAAGTTTGAATCTTAGCTGTGTTCCTGGCCACGTCTTATCTCTGAGCTTTGTGTGGGCACTGAGCGCCGTGTTGGGTTCGTCATTTGTTTGCATGCATGCTGAAGCGAGTTGAGACAAGTCTGATTGCACAAACTTAGTCTGTCAAAAAATGTAAAAATGCCCGATTATTTTTTTTTAATCATTCTGAAAGACCTATTATTTGAGGCAATACGAGGTATTACGAGCATCCCCCACTGGTAGGGCTCCTTTGAAAATGGCACCAGTCTATTTGTGGGGAGCTGCACCAGTTGGAAACAGGGTCCACCATCCCTTGTGGCAAATGCACATTGGAAAGTTGAGCATGCCCGTCCAAAGGACCAAAGGAGCTGTGACCACCGTTTTTCCACTTATTTCTGGAGATCATGAACAGTGATGTTGAGAGAAACTCAGTCGTGTGTGGCTCATGAGGTCTGTTGAAGTTCTGTTCAGATTCATTCCATTTTCGTGTGCCTTTGTCACGTGCAGCGAGACCCCTAGTAGGACTCTATTGATTCAGCTCTTGACTTAAATGCGGCCAGATGCATCCAATCCTGGGCTGTGAATATGCCCTCGGGGCATATTATTCACACCAGGAACCTAATCGCTGCAATTTTCTTTCTGCTGCATTTGTGACCTCTAGTTTGCGTTTTTTATCCCCCCACTCACTCACAGTACAGCGCCGTTTTGGACGGGATGAAACAAGGTACAGGTGTTCTGCCAAATTGTGCCAATTGCTCATGGTGCAATCAGACTTGTCTTCTACGACATTCAGCACGTGCACAAACAGATGACGATCACACTGGCACCTCGGCGCCCACACAAAGCTCAGAGATAACAAAGCCAAGAACACAGTTCAGAGTCAAACTTGGCTCGATCGGCTATGGCCGATCAATGTACACTCAGCAACTTGTTTGCACACAGCAACTCTGGATCTCCCTGAATGTCCCGCACACACTAACACACTGAACACACTCGTATACACGCACACACACACACACACACACACACACACACACACACACACACACACACACACACACACACACACACACTCACAATAACACCCTGCTACTAGGCTATGGCAGCTATGGCTGCCTTCTCCTACTACTAACAACACCAGCGGCTATGGCCGCATCTTCTTCCTCTCAGCCCACTTCTCCTACAGGCACCTGCAGACCTCCGTAGCACAAGGCGCTCAGGCAGCACTTCCACATGGCTCACAGGCAGAATGAATGAATGACTTGACGCTGCCTCTTTATTTATACTTGGAATCTTCAAATATCTGCCCTTGACCCTGGCCCCGGGGTGCACACAGTCCCACACGGTACTTGCTGACTGGACAGAGTGCAACCTGGGACTATGTACCGCTGACTGGGCTCAGTTAGACTGCCCACTTGCCCTACGGAGCTTCCAAAAGACTGTGGACTTGACCCTGTAGCAGCTACGACCTTGACCTTTCGACACTGTCGCAGCTACGATTCCTACCACTGCTGAGACTTCTCATCCATAGACCTACTGTTCGAGACCCGACGACCACACTATCTACAGCAAGCAAACAGGCGACTTTCAAGACACAGGTCGCGGGTTCAAGCACACACGGGTCACTTATACTGTACACGGGTGAGGGCGAGGTCTAGGGATCGAGCCCTGGGAACTGCATCTGCTACCGTAAGGTGAAAACCGTCTCAATGGTCTTTCCTAGATGCATCTGACCGGAATTACGGCCTGCTCCAGATGTATCAGACTGCAGTTGCAAGCAGACCTCAGTTGGAAAAACCCTGAGCTTGCCACGGTAACTTGTGTTAACCCCTTTTTTTTGTGACGCCTAGGTGCTTACACACCTCGATGCAACCCCTGAGGAGGGCCGGTACTCTAACCGACCGGGGCGAAACAGCTGTCGGGGTAATCGTCAGCATGCTCTACGTCTATGGCGGTCATACACCTACTTTCGTTTTCGCTAAGCTCATCGTAATATCATGCAAGCTGATGCACTCGGGAGATCATCTTGTCTTTGCCTCTCTCTTCTTTCCTCTTTCACGTCTCTTGCTTCACGTGCTTTAAGTGGAGTTCACTTGGCTGATGTATGTTGCATTAGTTTCTCTACACTTTTTTCCCTTTCCTCAGGTTATCCCTGCTTCCCACTACCTGCCTGTTGTCTTCGTGAAACAGTTTCTTTCGTCTTCCCGTTGGAAAACAGGAAAAAAACGAAGAGCATTTGAAAGAATCATCTCCAGGATCAGATTGTTGCCATTGGGGAAAGTGCAGGCTGTGTTCATAGTTCATTGAGGACATACTCACACTAGGACGTTCTTGGCTCAGCTCTGGCCATAATTGCGGCCAGACATCCAGAGTACACCGCAATTGCAGTAAGATGTAACTAGTAAGGTATTGCTGTCTTCGCCTCAATACAACTCGGTCATCACAGCTGACCCTGGACTTGAAAATTGAGTTAATGTAATGAATGACTTGGCGTTCTATTCGGGTGAAGAAGGTAGTGTGACTATGCCCTCAGGAAGGTGCAGGTTGTTTTGTTCTTTTCACAGTTGGTGCTGACTCTGGTTGGTTCTCCACACCGTTTCTCACACAAGGATATTTTTGACTGCACTCTGGGCAGAATTGCGGTCACACACATCCAGAGTCAGCTGTGATTGCAGTCAGATGCATCTAGTGAAGTCCTAGTGTAGTAGTGTGAGCATGCCCTGAGGAAGGTGCAGGTTGTTTGCTCTTTGGGAAAAGTTATAAATCCCCGCGGCATTACTGGTATTGCGAGCCCAACCAGGGTGGAAAAATGACATCTTAGATCCTCCCAGGCTCCCACTCTTTTTGCCCTGAGGAAGGTGCAGGTTGCCTGCTCGAGTAGTACTCACTCTGGCTCTTCTTCACACCTGTTCTCACACATGAACTTTTTGGACTCAGTTCTGGACGTAATTGCAGCCAGATACATACAGAGTTGGCTGTTATTGCAGTCCGATGCATCTACTCGGACTTTTCTCACTTGTCCCTGGACAAAATTGCAGTCAGATCTGTCCAGAATTGGCCATAATTGCAGTCAGATGCATCCAGTAAAGTCCTAGTGTAAGCATGCCCTGAGGAAGTCACAGGTAGTTTTTCACTTTTCGCAGGTTGCACTCCCTCTGACTGTTCTTCACACCTTGTCCTTTTCTTTTTCTCACACCTTGTCTTCTCTGCAGGTTGCCGAATGTGGATGATTTAAAATATCACCGCTTTGTGCCAGAGACTATATTTCAGGATGTATGCCTCCAAGGCTCCTTGGCGGAGACCCTCAAAGCCTCACTGAATCGGTTGGAATATCTCCGTTCAGGTCTAGTGTATTTTGGGAGCATAACTGGTGTATTCGTCAACTTCCCTGGCTTGGTAAGTTTTTTCTGTCCAAAAAAGTTGCTGTCTTCATGAACTTACTACCATCCTTCCCTCGGTCTTTCGGACTGGGTACCCAAAACAGCCTACGTGTAGCGGTACCCTTTCAGCTCGGCAGTGAGGCCAGACCTGTTTCAGGCCGTCGGCCTGAACCCAGTCCGGTACCGGGTTACTCCGGCCTGGACCTAGGCCGGTATATCTCTCCGGCCTAGGCCCAGGCCGGCTAGGTGATTCTTTCAGTTGTTCGTTCCTCCATTGAGTCGGACTGCTTCTTCTTGTGTGTGACCATCTCCTCTCTCTCTCTCTCTCTCTCTCTCTCTCTC